AAGAGCGTGTACGTATTCATGAGGTTACCTTCCGATCTGAGAAGAACAAATGTGGGCTGTGTAAGTGACTCTTGTGGAGCTCCCTCTGTGTAAAGGTGATTGCTGAGGAATAACTGTGTTTAAATGCACAGCAACGAGAAAATGGCACCTGAGAACAGTCCCAGGACGTGCTCGTTGGTGCTTCCGGCTTTAGGAAACCTTTTCAGCGAAGGCCAGGGACTCGCCTGCCCCCAGCCTGGGAACACCCTGGGACCTGCGGTGGGACAGGAGCAACCTCTAAAGATTGTTTGTAACATTATCTAATCCTGTGATGAGTCTAAAGCCGTAAAGTTCATTCTTAGCAAGGTGCTAGGTAGAATGGAGGTCTTAGCCAAGTTCAGAGCTGGCTGGGCTTGTTGAGTAGTGCAGAGAGGATATTGTAGGTGCTTCCTCTGTGCCTGGGTGGCCCTGTCCGTGCTACTGCCCTGTAGTCCACTCTTGGCTCTGTCATAGTGTTAAAAAGTAGTCACTATTAAAAAAAAAAAAAAAAAAAGTAGTCACTGCCGTGGACGATTGGACTTGGTGATGGAAAATGTATACATTGCATGGCCATCCATCCTTACTTGTATGTTCAAGGCTCAGAGTAAAATTATATCTAACTGTCTGGCCTTCGTTATTGAACACTGTGCTTAACCATTTAAGAAGTTGAGAACATGTCAGACATTTTTTTACTAGAGCACAATAACTGAAAACTATGATTTTTCACTTAACCAGTTCTGCCAGTTCTGATTTATAGAAAAGACTGAAATTTCAATTAATCTCATACTGGCAATATTGATTAAAGAGTTGGGTCATTGATTCTAGACCTACCTAACTTATAAGAAGAGGTATGATAAAGGGTTAGATTATTTCTGTCATTTTAATTGAATGATAAATTATGGTTTGCCATAATTTAAATATTTTAATCTAACAATTGTAAAAACTTCTTTTTTCTTTTTTAAGGTCAAGAATGGCCCTACCTATAATTGTACAGAATGTAGTTGTGTATTTAAAAGTTTAGGTAGCCTGAACACTCATATCAGCAAGATGCATATGGGTGGGCCACAGAATTCAACAAGTGCTGCAGAGACTGCTCACGTTTTAACGGTAAGCTTAGTAAGCTGGTTGATAGAAGGTGTTCTTTTACCAAAATCTGTCATCTTAATTATGACCTTGAAAATTGAATATTATTTAGAATGGTATTTAGTACTGTAAAGATGCTATGAAAGTTTCCTATATGGAAGTATGGTGCTACTTTTATTTGTTTAATGAGTGAAAGGAAATCAAATTTTTAAAAACTTTAGAATAATATTACGTGATTCTGATTTATGGACTGTCATCTGAACCGGTTAGAAATAAGACAAAATGTAATCATTAATTTATGAAATTGTAATTCCTATGGTCAGTGTTATTGATGATTATTATTGAATATTCTTTATCCTTATGTTATATTTTAAGAATCACTTCTCTCTTTAAAGTAATATTTCTCCAGGTCTAATGTGACAGTGATACTTTTTCCTGAGACCTTGGACTTTTGGGAAACTCAATTGTATTTTTCAGTACATGTATTTAAAATTGTATGACCCCCCCCAAACACACCCCCTTCTACTCCATTTTTTTTTTTTTTTTTTTTTTTTATAAATAATACACAATGTATTTATTTATTTATTTATGGCTGTGTTGGGTCTTCATTTCTGTGCATGGGCTTTCTCTAGTTGTGGCAAGTGGGGGTCACTCTTCATCGCGGTGCGCAGGCCTCTCACTATCGCGGCCTCTGTTGTTGCGGAGCACAGGCTCCAGACGCGCAGGCTCAGTAATTGTGGCTCACGGGCCCAGTTGCTCCATGGCATGTGGGATTTTCCCAGACCAGGGCTCGAACCTGTGTTGTCTGCATTGGCAGGCAGATTCTCAACCACTGCGCCACCAGGGAAGCCCCCTTCTACTCCATTTTTGTAGAGGCTTTCGTAGCTCAGCCTTGATCTGCTCCTTCTACTACCCTCCCAATTGATCATAAATGGCAGCATCGAAGCGTAGAGTTTGGTGTCCTAACCAACAGCAGAGACTTTGGACGTACAAGTCTCGGGAGTGCTGCAGTAGCTCATGAGCGCCGTCAGCCGATAGTCTGTGTTACGTCAGCAGCTGCCTCCTACCAACCTAGAAAAGAGGCCTAGTTTGTATTTAGTTCCCAAGCATGAGGTTCACGTTTAGTGTTTACTTTTTCTTTTCTTTTCTCACAATATCTGCAGCTTAGGATGATTCCTCAACTTACTCTTGATCAGGGAGGATGTTGTAAAGAAGTTCTAAACCTGGAGAATAATTAGAGTCTAATAATTATGTCTTAAATTCTATTTTGGACTCAGTATTTTTTAAGTAAAGTTTTCAATGTATAAATCAAGCAAATATTCATTTCCTTTGGCAGTATGCAAATCAGATATGTAGATGTAGTGAATTACCTGGAATGATAATGCAAATCACTTTTAAAATTTATAGTCTCAGTAAAAAACTGAAAATGTAGTATAGGGGTTTGGAAACCTGTGATCCACGCCACCTTTTACCCTCATCTGCATGTGTAAGAGCGCTCCGTGTCAGGTTATATGTACTGTTTTTCAGGACTGTCTAGGGATCAGTGTTCAGCCTCCTGCACACTGTCTCTTATTTTGCCTCTCCCATTTTCTAAATCTTGACCTTTTTGCTTTACTTTGGAGGGGTTTTTTCAACTTTATCTTATAATTCTTTCCTTGAATTTTTTTTAAGCTAGTAAGGTTTTTAATTTCTGAGATCTTTCCTTGTGATCTGATTGTTTCTTTTTCAAGATACTCTTTTCTGGTTTGATGTACTTTCCTTTGAAATCTAATTAGCATTTTCTCTTAAAAGTTCTCTTCTAGTCATTGAATTGTCTCTCTTGTGCATCTCCCCACTCCTCCTTCTTTCAGATGTCTTATAGTTCTTGGTTGCCTGCACTTAAGAAGGGGAGCATCAGGAAACCTGCCTCTGAACTTTTTATGCGTGAACAGAGCTGGTTGAACTCCAGGGTTCCTTATAATTGGCCAGGGAACCAGCTCTTAAAATTGGGGTCCCTGGTGGCAGAATGTAAATGATTTTTTTGTTTAATCTAGGGAACTAAGGGCCACAAAAGGTGCCCTAGCTCTCCCCAAATAGTTTTTTCATTTTTATCTCTTTTAGAGGCAATCCCCCATTTTTTTGCCGGAAGGTAAGTGCCTAATTGCCATTTGTTCTATGGTGGAAGACAGGGGATTCATTGTCAGTGATAAGTATTTTAATTAATAGACTTTATTTTTTGGAGCAGTTTTAGGTTAATAGTAAAAGTGAGCGCAAAGTACAGAAAACTCCTGTAGACTCCTCTCCAGCAGCTCACATAAGTTATTACCCCCATCATTACACCCACCATGCATTGGTGTGGTGCATTCGTTACAATTGATGGGTGAGTACTGGTGTATTATTATTAACTAAAGCCCACGGTTTATGTTAGGGTTCACTCTCGGTGGAGCATGTTCCGTCGGTTTGGGCCAGTGTATAATGCCCTGTTATCCACCATTACAGCGTCGCGCAGGGTAGTTCTCTGCCCCTACCCTCTTCTGTGTATGCGTTTCACATTCCTGGGTTTCTGAGGAATCAGATCAGCTCTCTCTTCACATGTTCTTGGCTGTAGCTTTACAGAGCATTTATTCCTCCAATGCCCCTATTTTTCGGGAATTAAAAAGAAAAATTTAACCCACAGTGATCTCTTGCTTATTTCCTATATTTTGTAACTCTGTTACTCCTTCGTTTTAACAGACTGAGAGGGAGATGAGGCTTGTGTGCTTCATACCCATCTTGAAGCAATAGTCTCTACCACTACTTACAAGACTTGAATCGTAGTAGAGAAAATTCATTGAATATATTTTTTTAAGGGCCAATTTTGTGTCTAACTTAAAAATCAGTGAGGCATTTTATTTAAAATTTACGTTTGGATAGGTATTGCTGACTCACTTTGTTATAAAGCAGAAACTAACACACCATTGTAAAGCAATTATACTCCAATAAAGATGTTAAAAAAAATTCATGTTTGGGATACTAATTTTGGGATTTTAATGCTCATAAGGGAGATATGCCTGTTTATTTCCTTTTTAAAAAAAATTGGTACACAAATTAACGTAATTGTTTATATTTTTAACAAAATGTTGCTGTGTTTCAGGCCACGCTGTTTCAGACTTTACCTCTTCAGCAGGCGGAAGCCCAGGTCACATCTGCTCCGAGTCAGCAGAGTTCCCAGGCGGTGGCTGATGTCATCCAGCAGCTGCTGGAGCTGTCAGAGCCGGGGCCTGCGGGGTCCAGCCAGCCCCCTCAGGCTGGCCAGCAGCTGAGCATCACGGTGGGGGTCAGCCAGGACATCCTGCAGGTGAGCCACACTTACCTGCTCCTGTCTGTGTTTGTCAGGGACTGGGTATCATCACTGAAAACAAAATATTCAGGTCTTGTCAAAGGAAAGGGGTCTTCATTCAAAATGTGTCGTAATTGAAAAACTATATTGAAACAAAATATGCTTGTTTGATTATTTATGGACAGTGCAGTATTTGAAATGATTTATCACTCGATAAATAAAAAGTTTAAAACTCTATAATTTTTTCTCTGTAAGTGAATTTTCTTGAAAAGTATAGGCGTTTCAGAACTTCCTTGTTATCTATCCTTGTCGACAGAGGGTAAGGAATATTTTCCTCCTTTCCCGCCGCGCTCCTTGGAGATAGCACTGCCTGTCTTGACAGTGTGTGAGCGTCCCTGCTCCTGTGGCGCTGGAGCACACGG